TTACTATAAATAAGTATTGTAAGTTTCAATTGAATATCTCAAGCAATAATTGAGATATTTGACTTTACAAAAAACTTTAACCAAAATTTCTAAGTTAAAAAGGGGCATAATTCTGTCAATATTGTAGGCAGAGTTATCCAACTTGTCAATGTGATGTACATTGTTACTATAAATAAGTATTGTAAGTTTCAATTGAATATCTCAAGTAATAATTGAAATATTTGACTTTACAAAAAACTTTAACCAACGCAGACGCCGACGCGGACGCTGACGCCGACGCCGGGGCGACTACAATAGCTCTCATATTCTTCGAATAGTCGAGCTAAAAAAGGGGGAAAAACAGACATGTAAAGGACAAACTTTTTTTTTTTGCAACATTTAAAGAATTTCTCGGAAATAATTTAAAAGACAGGCTAGATAATGAAAAAATACAACAGAAATTGTCAAAAATATCAATTTTACAAAATGAATATACAAATCAGGGTAAGCTGAAATTCAAAATACATTTGTGTATATTATATATTTCTTTTTATACCTGGTACTGTGTAGCAGTTTGTAAAGTTTTCTGTGCTTTACGCCACTGGTTGCCTTGGTTACCATACTGTGACCATACTGTTGAACCAAGATGACCAAATGAGCTGGTGTAGACGTTTAGAGTTCCAATGTTACTACCATACATGTGATACCAGAATGTCAGACACATGTTGTTAGTGGCCGGGTATGTCTTACTAGCAAGTCTAGCTTTGTCTCCTTGTTTCCGTGGGGATGATGTTTCAGTGTACATGTAGTGACCTATAAAAAATTAAAGACAAACTTTTCCAAATATTGAAAAACAGTTTTCACTTATTCTTTTCTAAACTAGAACTATCACTAAATGTGATTAATACCCCCACAAGTCTGCTTCGGAAATGAGGATGTTACTAGTAACAGAATACCTTGTAAAAGAATTGAAACATAGAGTTATGGTTGTGGGCAATTAAAGATAATTTGTGGTTCATGTATGTTGCATTTCCTTTTCAATGTGGTTGGCCATTGATGAAGTTTAATTGAATTACTCTGTAATAAGTCAGAAAGACAAAGAAAAAGAACAAAGGGCAATAAACTCTATAAATTACTGAAGATAGAGTTATAGTTCTTGTGCACTGCACTTCCTCTTATTGTGCTTGACCCATTGTATGAAGTTGTTTTGAATTCCAACCAGTACGTTTTAAGTTATTGCTTCGGACAAGGAAAAGTATCAAAAGGGCAGTAACTCTGTATTTTGTCAAAATGGAGTTATGACTCTTGTTGCACTGCACTTCCTTTGAATGTCCTTGAAACTGTATGAAGTTGTACTGAATTCCAAACAGCAGTTTTCAAGTTATGCTCTGGACAAGGAAAGTAACATAGGGCAATAACTCTGTAAATTAGTCCAAGATGGAGTTATGGTTCTTGTGCAATGCACTCTGCACTTCCCTTTATTGTGCTTGACCATTGTATAAAGTTGTTTTGAATTCCAACAGTAGTTTTCAAGTTATGCTCTGGACAAGGAAAAGTAACAAAGGGCAGTAACTCTGTAATAAGTCAAAATGGAGTTATGGTTCTTGTGCACTGCACTTTCTCTCAATGTGCTGGACCATTGTATTGAAGTTATAATGAATTCCAACAATTTAGTCTTCAAGTTATGGTCCGGACAAAAGAAAGCAATGGAAAAGAAATAAAGGGCAATAACTCTGTAATTACTTTAGATAGAGTTATGGTTCTTATGCACTGCACTTACTCTCAATGTGCTTGACCATTGTATGTAGTTATATTGAATTCCAACCATTAGTCTTCAAGTTATGCTCCGGACAAAAAAAAGAAGGCAATTGAAAAGCAACAAAGGGCAATAACTCTGTATTACTTTAGATAGAGTTATGGTTCTTGTGCACTGCACTTCCCCCTTATTGTGTTTGACAATTGTATGAAGTTGTTTTGAATTCCAACCAGTAGTTTTCAAGTTATGCAACGGACAAGGAAAAGTAACAAAGGGCAATAACTCTGTAATTAGTCAAGATAGAGTTATGTTTCTTACGCACTGCATTTCCTCTCAATGTGCTTGACCATTGTATGTAGTTATATTGAATTCCAACCATTAGTCTTCAAGTTATGCTCCGGACAAGGAAAATGCAACGGACAAAAAAAAAAAGCAATGGAAAAGCAACAAAGGGCAATAACTCTGTAATTACTTTAGATAGAGTTATGGTTCTTGTGCACTGCACTTCCCCTTATTGTGTTTGACAATTGTATGAAGTTGTTTTGAATTCCAACCAGTAGTTTTCAAGTTATGCAACGGACAAGGAAAAGTAACAAAGGGCAATAACTCTGTAATTAGTCAAGATAGAGTTATCGTTCTTGTGCACTGCACTTCCTCTCAATGTGCTTGACCATTGTATGTAGTTATATTGAATTCCAACCATTAGTTTTCAAGTTATGCTCCGGACAAGGAAAATGCAACGGATGTCTGGACCGACCGACCGACCGACCAACCGACCGACCGACCGACCACCGGGTGACTCCTATATACCCCCCCAAACTTTGTTTTTGGGGGTATAACAACAAAAAAATTCCATCTGTGGTGAGATGTAGCTGCATCAACTTATTGTCTTTAACTATTGAATTGAAAACAAATATTTAAACATGTGAATGAAGCTTATTTTTATTCTTATTATCAAGAGATTTAGGTTAATATATTCACTGAATCAAATGGTCTGCCTACAGTAAGATAAACCAGCAGCTTATCTAGGCTCAGCTGTTTGATTATATCATATCAGTTAGGTAATAAAATTGTCAAATATGATAATTATCAAAAATATTTTTCTAAATATCAACTTCTTTTCATTTTCTTTTCTTTTTTTCTCAACAAAGAGATTCAATTTTTCAGGGAAAACACTGTTATATCCAATGCAGGATTCTAGTTGAAGAATAAAAGGTTCAGACATACCGTCAGTGGTACCATAAGAGTGATCTGACATTGGTCCGGTCCCAGAGCTTCCTGTAGCACCAGAATTCCATGTCCAGTCAAAGTCATCATTAACCAATTGTTGATAGCCACAGATAGACTTGTCCTCAAAATCACACACAGCTGAACAAAATACAAGTCAGTTTTAGTGATTAGTATAAATTCTAAAGACAATTTTTTTTATTATTTTATTTTTAATTTTCATCAATAATTCTAATTTGAATCAATATACTTCTATAATAATGTATAACATTCAACATTTTGAAAATTATGTCAATTTTTGTGGACCAATTTATTTTCTTCCATTAAAAGTGTTTAGACATTAATGAGCAGCATCATGACAAAACCAAAATAGTGCATTTGCGACCAGCATGGATTCAGACAGCCTGCGCAGTCTGATCAGGATCCATGCTGTTAGCTATCAGTTTCTCTAATTGTAATAGAGTTGGTAAGCGAATAGCATGGATCCTGATCAGATTGCGCGGGTGTGCAGGCTGGTCTGGATCCATGCTGGTCGCAAACGCACTATGTTGGTTTTGTCATGACGCAGCTCATTCAATCATATTAATTTCTGATATTTAACAAATCCTTTATCAAATTTAAGTCATCCATTAGAGAACACAAAATAACATTAAAATCATAAAAATTAAATATCAAATATGTTTGTTATAATTGATAAATTTCTGACTCTAAAGCTTAGGCAGAACAAAAATTAGGTTTTGTTAAATTGAAATAATTGTATTTACCAGGTGGTGGGCATGCTCCATTTGTAATTGTGATATCATCAAGTGCTATATCACCTTGGTAACCATTGCCTTTAAGAGCTTCAAATACAATCTGTAACAAACCACAAATGATGAATGGTGTACATGGTAAACAATTTAAACTCTATGTATATCAAATAAGTTTCAGCTCCTTACAATGTCTGTAATGTATTCTATTATGTAATTTTTACAAATAGTGTATTCATCTTAAATAAATGCTATGTATTTTTATTCATCAGACAAATATTTTCCAAATGACAGTTTTCTCCTATTGTTTCCTATGGAATACATACCTGTTTATTGGTAAGTGGACCAAGTTCAACTTGAGCTGAATGCCAGGTGTTACCCTGCGTGCCAACTTTGTTCCAATATGGACTACCAAGGTTAGAACCAGACTTCAGGTACATCGTGAGAACACTGACGTCCGAGCCATACATATGATACCAGAATAAAACACATGTAGCTGTCTGTGTGGACAGAATAGGACTTATAATACGTGCAGAATCATTAGCTCTATGCTGCGATGTTTCAATGTAAATATAATATCCTGAAAATAAAAACAATACCCAGATTTATACATGTACATTACAATATCCTGGACAAATACAAGACTCCCAGTTTTTTTTCTTAAAAGAACTTTACGATATTGACATTTAAACAACACAACATATAATGGGCTCAGTTTGCCAGTTACAAAAATAAACATATTATATACAGCATATATAATTTTATATGTCAATGTGGCATGTATTTATGTTAAATACTTAAAATATTATTTCACTAATTGGTTTTATTATTCTTACCATTTGAACTCATTGTTGTATGGTCAAAACTAGGTCCAGTATTAGAACTGGATGTACGTCCTTTACTGGATAACCCAGGAATGTCTTTTTTACATTTTATTTAACAAATAAAACATGACCTTGAGGGCAATATGCAAGTTTACGGACTGGTTGGTCAGACTGAGGAAGGTATATGGCCCGAAGCGCAGCTGAGGGACATATACCTTCCGAGGTCTGACCAACCAGTCCGTAAACTTGCATATTGCCCGAAAGGCCATGTTTTATTTGTTATATTATACCGAATCTAGATCCAGACCAGCCTGCGCATATCATGCTCGATATCAATTTATTTTACTGTCTAAAGATGTATGATTTATTATTGAAAGTGCTAAGGCAGAACTTCATTTAATACTGGATAACCCAGAAATGTCTTTTTTACATTTTATTTATGAATATATATATACTAACTTGCAGTTGTAAACGATGTAGGTGAAGGAGTGGAGCCTGTGGGTTGTGATCCACAAGTACCTGCAACTACACTGATATCATCTAGGGCAATATCACCATTAAAGTTATTTCCTCTAACACCTTCAAACAGGATGTAGAAATTCTGTGTAAATGACAGAGTTGCCTGCCCCTTGATCCATACATCACCTTTGTTACCACTGACATTAAACAATGTCTGTTGTGGTCCGAGGCTACTCATCAGATAAACATTCAGATCACCGATACCTGTAAAATGAAATTACAATCTTTAAAACTTTTTAACATACTGCATTCAGAACTTACCCAAGTTTGATTTTGGATTTCAATTAAAGATACACATAAGTTTGCTGTGAACAATTAAAAGATACTGCATACTACCATGGTATTATTATTAATGAAGCTTAAACAACATAGAAATCTAGAGTTTGTACAATTGGACTACATACATTGTAATAATGAACAGTTCAAATCCATGCCATGTTCTCAACAAAGTGTATCCCACACTGAACATGAATAATTAGGCATATACAATCTTGCATGAAAATATTTACTATGTACCAATGTTTCAACAATTTACAATTGAATCAATAACATAGAGCTTCACTCTAAGCTTCAATATATATACAATTTTAAAATCAACATAAAACAATATAATAAAGTGTACAAGTTAGCCATAACTGTGCTCTTTTAGCATTCTAAATAGACATTTTCCATTCAATGATTTATTCTGATTAAAAGCCATAACAAAAGCTATATTTTACCTTGTCCATACATATTGTACCAGAAAGTTAAACATGATCCTGTAGTGGGTGTTAACTGATCACTCTTCAACCATGCCTTATCTCCAACTTTCCTCGGTGCACTTGTCTCAATAAATACATAGTAACCTGAAAATAATATCAAATCATTCTAAAAAATCTAGTTTATATCATAAAATGCAGCATAATTGTCTACTTTATGTCTCACATAAAGATTAAATTAGTATTTGTAAGACCATAAGTAATATAAATATAGGGGGCGTCCGTGGCCGAGTGGTTAAGGTCGTTGACTTCAAACCACTTGCCCCTCACCGCTGTGGTTAAAACTTTATTGCTATTCATTAAAGTTCATTGTAGGGATCTATCAATTTTTATTAAATATACTAAATACAAAAATGGTTGGAAAGAATACAATGATTCTCGTCAATTGTAACTAGCTTTATCTTACCTTATTTGCTCACCATTTTTCTTGTAATTATTTGATTACCCAACAAAATTTGTCAAAGAAAATGCCTGTAAGGTAATACAAAAGACTGTAAAAACATGAATATATTAAACTAGTACCTGCAGCAGAATTGGTGGTGTGGTCATTGTGAGGCCCTGTTGTAGATGATGGGGTACCTCCATTATCTCTTGTCCAGTCAAACTGATCACCTACAACATTTGTAAAACCACATAGATCTTTCTCAAAGTTACATGATGCTGGGGCTGCACATGGTCCAGAAGTGACTTTGAAATCATCAATGGCAATGTCACTAGAGAATGTAGTCCCTCTGATTCCTTCAAATACAAGCTGTAACAAACAAATCACACACTATCATAAACCTATAATATGATAACACAATACTTACAAAATGTCTTTAGACTTGTTAACTATTATTGGAAGGAAATTTTTTCAAAAAAAAATTTCCTTTCTATAGTATCGGTCTGCCTATATCAAAAAGAACGAACAACACCTAATTGCATTCTGTTTAAGCTCAATAGAAAATAAGTAGTTAATGCGACCAAGAAAGTAGTGCAGCAGAACTATATGTATACTTTCAAACGTGGATGACTTGAAGAAAAAGCTGATGTTCAAAAAAACTTGAAATGATGATATTCAATGTTAGCTAACATCAATGGAACGTGTACGAAAAAAAAACATCAGTATTATTACGCATTAGGCCAAAGAAAAGTTTGTGTCCATGTACAATAAATTGAATATAAATAAGGTGTAATTTTGTAGCAGAGATGCTGAAAAATTCACATGTAAGTCAACCGAAGGGAAATGAAAGTATTTATTGTATATATTTAGCAATTTATTGAATAGCATTTTATGCCACCGCTGATTTTTTTACGTCAATAACTCAAGAGGAAACAATGGATACAATATGTGGCCTTAAAAAAGCGTACTATTTTCGCAAAAAATGGTTCGCAAACTTTCATAGAATCAAAGCGTTTGAAACAAAAATATTATTATATAAATAATAAAAAACAAGATAACAATACAAGTCTTTCAAAGGTATTCTGGAATTAACGGATGCAATTTGGTAAAACTTGGTTTTGACTAGTAGGGCACACCCGCCATTGTTCGGACCATCGACAGAATAACGTTCGTGTTTTTCAGATTTCTCCATCCAAGACATAGATTTGCTGATGAATAACATCTCAAAGGTTTGTGGAAATGCTTTTATTTCTTTGTTCAAAATCGTTTTGTGTTTGCAGATGTTAATTTGTTAGACAAACGAAATTAGGTCAAGGATTGTTTACATTATTGAATTTACAGGTAAACTCGGCCCTATACCAACTCGGGACAGGTCAACTCGGTCCTCTATTAAAACCATATAGCCTATTAGGATATAGATTGTTTAGTTAATAAAATATTGTTTGAAATTATCTTTAAGATAAATAATTATCTTAAGAAGAGATATCAAGACAATATATGTTAAATATTAATCAATAAGGAAGTGGCTAGCCGTACGGGCCCGTACGGCTAGCCAAAAGTTCTAGCCGTACGTGAGTCACGTACGACTAGCCTGGACACACTGTATTGGCTAGCCGTACGGAACTTTTCAAATTATATAGAAGTCGAAAATGCATATGTTATTTTGTGTCCTTAAACGACGATTTTAATCAAATCTCCGCATTTGTCCTAGTGTGTTCACTTTAATAAAGATGCTCCGCAATTTTGCAAAAAAAAAAATGAATACGAGTATAAGCGTTGTATAATCTATCTTAATAAGATTAAGTGTCAAAGTTATGATTTGTATGAAAGATGAATTGTTAAAACGTTAATTAAGCACATGGATCGAATAAATAATGATCGGAGGGGAATAAATAAATAAATAAAAAGAAAGTAAGTAAAAAAACGGTGAAAAGGAAAAATAATTTAATAATGCAAACTTTCCTTAATGATGGACGATGGACAAACTTCTATACCGTAATTATCAGAGCCCAACAACAATTATTTTCGGTGTTTTTGTTTGTTTGTTGTTGTTTTTTTTTTTTTCAATTTAAAAATTACACTTAATGAAACAAAAAAGGATTATTATCAAAATTTTGTAAACTATTTCAATTGATGTTATTTAACTGCAACCAAACGCTATTTTTTCTCGACGTCTTAAGATAACAAAGTACATTTTTTACTGTTGCCAACACGTCGATTAATCTCTAAAAAGTAAACATTCTTGACTAAAATCCTCGCTTAAAGTCATAATTAATTAACATATGCACTTTCGCCTTCCATATATTTTTGAAAAGTGCCGTACGGCTAGCCAATACAGTGTGTCCTGGCTAGTCGTACGTGACTCACGTACGGCTAGAACTTTTGGCTAGCCGTACGGGCCCGTACGGCTAGCCACTTCCAATCAATAAATAGAGTTTTTAGATTGAAATTTTGTGACAATGAATTTTATTGTATTTAATACTGTTTGTTTTTTAATATGGCAAATGCTTGTTTAACGATATTTTTTACAAAAAAATCTGGAGTAGCATAAAATGCGTTTAAATTGTAAATTCTTTCTTTCTCTACAATTTCACATACTTTTCAATATCCTTGAGTAGATGTCTGTTAGTGTGAAAATGTTAAACCATGACAGTTATGATGAAAACATATCAAAAGTAAGAAAAGTAATCATTATCAGTAATTATGTAATTATGGGCCGAGTTGACCCGTGCTGAGTTGGAATAGGGCCGAGCTGTCTCGAGGGCCAAATACGTTTAAGGGCCAATCTGACCCTGATTCGAATTTACAGTGTTGACTGTTGTGAAGGATTTGCTTTTTCATTTCTATTGTATATAGACTATCTATTAACATAGAAATAAGTTTATAATATGTTATATTCAATTGTTGTGTACAATTGATATTCGATAACTGTATAAAAATTTATCATGGCCCTCTTGATTTTTAATTGGCGAGGTCCGAGGACAGGCAGCCTTTCGCACAGACTGCAATTTGCAGTTGGTATAGTAATTTTTAGTGTTTGATGATCAGAAGATTTTTTCCTTCTGAAAATCATGGACTTGAATAATTCAAATCTGTGTGAAAGCGCAAAGAGAAAGAGACTGAAAATTAATTTATTATTTCTATGGACAATATTGATGTAATAAATTTGTAATAAAACATGTGGGTCAATTTCCAGCAGTAATTGAATCATGACAAAGAATTTTTAATAATTTTATTTAACTTGTGGCTACTTGAAAATTTCATGCTGGATGTTTGCTTACCATTACATTTTGCATTTATAAGAGCTCTATGATTGACATTAAAGTCCACGGGCCAATTCATTTCTGATATATCTATAATCTTTCCGATATCTTGTTATGATATAAATGACTGAACATCATTGTAGAATTATAAGGAAAAAATATATATCAGTGATTTTTTTACCTTTGCATCCTGAGTCCAGAACTCAATGAATTTGCTATGGATGCAAAGTTTCAAATAATGTGCATCTTTTGGATACATACTTTTTCTAAGTAGGGAGTCCTGTCTGACAGAAATTTGGTATTAAAATTAATACCAAATAGTGTTCAACTTATGTCAATCATATTCTAGGTCCAGCTAAGATATAATAATGTGCTATACTATAGGTAAGCTTAAAAATATTAAGGAAAATGAAGTTTTGATTAATATCAAACTAAATTAATGGAAATAAACATATTAAATTTATTTGACAGTTTTGAATAATTTCAGTATCAGAAGCATTGTAATTAATATAGAAATCAAATTCATTTTTTTCTTCATTCCATTGTTAATATACCTTTCATATCACTAAAGCAATATTAAGCCCTGTAACTTGGATTTTTCTGCTAAATTTTGGGACTCATAGATTTATAGCCCAGCGAGTACTAAGGACCCACACTGATGAGTTTGTAAAAAAATCACTGTATATATGTTCATTCTTTGTAAAAATGTTAGAAGACTTGCAAGTTACCGACTTTATCATTGCATTTATTTATTATTGAAAAAATGCTGAACAGCTAGTCTCAACAGTGTTTATAGGCTAGAATTTTCAGTTTGCATTAGGGCCAAAATTATTAAATATATTGTTATAGTCTGTCCCATCAAATTTGAACATTCCATTTTTTATTTAATATAATAGTAAAATCATTTAAATTAATGTCATCTTAACCCTGACGTCAATATCTCTAGGCATGTTTTTCATTTTTTTCATAAAGTCAGTAATATGGTCAAAATGTTAAAATTATATTTTTCCTCGTTGACTTACGTTGTAACCTGACGTGACGTCCATTTCAAAATGGCGGCGCCCATATAGACGTCATTTAGGGTTCGTCTCACAATTACGGTGAAATGTACTCGTTAATTATAAAAATTTGATTATATTTATTTACTTACTGATCAATAGCTAAATGTTCTCATTAAAATGAAAAATGAGAACAAAGTTGGTGTCAAAAAGGCAATTTTACTAGCAAACTATTATTAAAATAATCAAAATCATTTAAAGCTAAAATATCGCTAACCGCTTTATAAATTCTTACACACATCAATTAATAACCATGATAAACTGTCGTATTTTTTAAGATAAAAAGAACAATGAAGTGATTTGATTAGATAGCTTTCCAATAAAGTGCGTATCTTACCGCAGCATGTCGTAGGGTGCGGGAACACTAGCTAGAATATGATAAACAATATCAACAAGGAAAGGCGGCGTTCAATGAACGTAACCCCCACATGACCCAGCTAGAAGACTATAAAAAATGGTTCTTTGCTAATTAATGTTTAATTTACACAATTCTTTAGTTGTCTGAATTCTGTCCATTAGTATGTATCACTTCTATTCAAAAATAATTAAATTGACCAGGTTCGATGGGATACAAAAATATGTTACCCTTCTTATTTCGGGTGCGATGTCCGTGCGCTAAAACTTTCCGTAGGTTTCAACTTTCACAAAAAATCGCCAACAAATACTACATTATCATGTAAATCTGACAAGAAATATATAGAAAGGAAAACTGATTCACTATATGTTTCAGTATTGCTTTGCTTGTTACCACAGTGTCTACTTTAACTAACTCCCTGGCTAATGAGAGAACACAGACTTGCGTTCGAGGAAAATGTTAAATTATAAGAATATAATATCATGCTTTCTAGTTTTAGCAATCAAACGTAGGCCTATACACTTTAAGTTTGTAAATACAAATTTAACTTCCCGTCTCACAATTCAACAAAATGTCAGTGATTTCACTGATTTGATATTATTAAGAATAAGTTTGAATAAATTAAATTGGAGTGTTCAATAAGCGACAATAAGTGTTTATTTCATGATTTCCGGTGTTTTATTGTAATATATCAGATGATTATATTCTGATAAACCACTAGTGAAATTTAATATGAAATTAGGCAAAGCCTATGAACGGGGAAGTCGGTAAAAAATCCTTTCATTTTTCCGTTTTAAAGGTGTCATTCGGTATTATATGTACCAACTTCCGTTTTCACTCGGAACACTCGACGTTTATTATTAATCCGAAAAGTTGAGATTTGTTCCGTTATCGGAATACACCGCCTTTTATCATTGAGTTACATTGTAAATGGCGGCGCCTAACTAGAACTGACACTGAAAATTTCATTGATAGGTATAGAATTCTATATATTTTTTAATTGTTTTTTATATGAATGTTCTTTTAAATATACACGTGTAGTCTATAGCCGGGCAAGCCAAAGCCCTTTTACTTCCCCGTATAAAATATAATTTTCACTGTAGCCGGACTATATCTGAATGCGGATGAAAAGAAAATCATAACTAAATGGAATAACAGGCAGAAATAAATGCCATCATGCGTAAATTTTGCTTCTTTAGGAAAAGAAAGTCGATGTCATCATACATAATGTTAAAAAATGTAACAAAATTAGAGAAATGTAACAGACCTATATTTCAAAATTTATGATGTGACGTCATGATGTGATGACGTCACAAGGGAGAATGCGCGACGTTACGCGGCAAAATTAGTAAAAACATACTTAAAATCACTATAAAAGCATGAAATAAAAAGAAAATTTATTTGTTTTACATATAAGATTGAAATATATTTCATTCGTGAACACCAGCTATTATATTTTCACTCGTGGCTACGCCACTCGTGAAAATATTGCATCTGGTGTTCACTCAGTGAAATTATATTTCAA